TTTTTGGAGATATGTTTATATATATATATATATATGATTATGTCTTTATTTTATGCTGGTATTAAAAATTCAATTACAACTATGATTTATTATAACATAATATAATATAAAAATTCATTTATAAAATATAGTAAATATATTTAATAGAAATTATATAAATATTATTAGTATATTATTAGTATCAAAAGAAAAGAAGAAGAATTATGAAATATAGTATAATTTAAATATAACAAAAAATATATAAATATTAATAAAAATATATAGAAATTCTCTAACTGTGTTGAATGTGCTGGAATGTCTTTAGAAAATGTTAGAATGCAAAAATATATATATTAATGGACTTCAAAATAGGTTTCATTTTATTTTATTTTCATTTTGATTTTGGGGTGAAATATGACTCACATATATTCTTGACATGTTTCATGAGATTCACAGCTGTAGAAAAACACTCAAAAGAATCAATATGTGATTATGTAGTGATTGAGTCAAGCATTGAATTGATGAACTGTGTGTGTGTGTGTGTGTGTGTGTGTGTGTTTGTGTTTGCTCATGTTTACATGGGGTTACATACGTGAGTTGAGTATGTCAATATTGCTGGGTATTTGTTGATCCTCCAAATGTTTGCTCATGTTTGCATGGGGTTACATACGTGAGTTGAGTATGTCAATATTGCTGGGTATTTGTTGATCCTCCAAAGGGAGAAATAATCCAGAGAAGCTGTCGGCTGAAAATATGGACATCACAAAATGGTTTTCTCCAGGGAAATTACCGCAGAATAGCTCTTGAACCAATATGTAGCGACGTGCTCTGCTGCTTTGCAGTGAAACCCTCCTCTACATGATCAATTTAAGACATTTGGCCATTTTATTAGCAGTGTTTGCTAAGTCAAGCATCACCATTACTGTAACTCATAGTCATCTGAAGCCCTAAACCAAAGTATTAAAGTCCACCGTGTGTGTTTATGCTCCTAGTATAGCCTATTATAGTTCTGTTACTATTTTGAATTAGCTGTTATTTTTCTATTAGTAATTTTGTTAAAATTCATATTAGGTTTTTTTTATGTCTATGCAGGATTTATTATTCAAATATATTGATTTATTTATATATAGTTGTTCAAATAAACAAATATATGTCTTCATAAAGTATATAGATATTCATAAATATTATAGAAATCATTTTACAAGTTAACTGGAGTAGTAAAAGTAATATATGCATTACGGCAGTGAGAACTCTACAGAGCCCCTAGAGGGCTCTGTACTTTCGCATGCTCACGAGAAACTTTTCACGTGCGCACACGTTTCAATATCTGAATTATGTAAACTATGACCTATTTCCTTTGTCCCTCATTGCAATTTTACGGTGAAGAAAAGAAGATTATGGGTGCACATGACTTAATAAAGACCTATTTGCTCAAAAATGGGCTTTTCTACCTATATCACAGCCTTATGTCCGCTGAGACGGCTGAGAAACCTCGCTGTGAAATGGGCTGATGGCGCAATACAGCTGTGTGTATTGAGCTTTAATTTTGGCTGAAAATGAGGCTGAATCCAGCTCCTTGATCGTTTTTATATAGCGAGACGCTTTTGTCCATATATAGCACTGCTTGCAATAAGCGCTTTTAGAACTGAATGAAGAAACTCAGCATTTCTCCGCAGGCTGCAAAGATGCATTAAATCCAACAAAGTGCTTTAATAAAGGATGTTTTTATCTTGTGAAATAAGAATATTTTAACACATTTACCATACCAATATATATATATATATATATATATATATATTGGTATGGAAAATGTGTTATATTGCCCTGTATTCCAAAATGTGAGCACTTTTTACTGTACCAATCGCTTCTAGACCTCAAAATGCGTTTTGAATGTCAGAATCAGAATCAGAAGGAGCTTTATTGTCAAGGAAGTCGTCTTGGTGACAGGAGCTTCCAGTGCAGAAAGTACAGACATAGTGCAGACATACATATAATTTAAGGTAATAAAATGAAATATAACACTAATAATAAAGAGAAAGAGCTCAATTAACCTCTCATTATATTCTGACGGAGTCGGCGCCTGGCGAGGCTGCTCATGTAGGACGTGAACTCACAGGAAGTTCCTCTCAAAGCACCGGACGAGAATAAACAGTGGCATCTGAGATGTGAGCTGGAAGCGTTCGGTCGAAATGTCATTTACCCGCCATCACATCGATCCAAACCGGCATGACTTTACTTCCTATATAGCAGAAAATGTATACTTTTTTTCTCCATACAGAAAAATACTCAAGACGTGGATTGAGAATATCTTTTAAATTCCAGTTCAGCTCCAGAGTTTGACTTAAGGTTGCAAACAGGATACAGAATTTAAATTTTAATCTAAATGCAAGGAAGTAGAATTCAAATGAATTGAAATTCAAAGAAATTCATATAACTGTAATTTTTAACAAGTTTAAGAAGACAAACGTTGCATGTATAGATAGATAGATAGATAGATAGATAGATAGAAATGTAATTTATTCCTGTGATCAAATCTGTATTTTCAGCACCATTACTCCAATCTTCAGTGTCACATGATCTTCAAAAATCATTCTAATATGCTGATTTGCTGCTCAAGAAACATTTCTGATTATTATCAATATTGAAAACAGTTGTGCTGCTGAATATTTTTGTGGAAACTGTGATACATTTTATTTTTCAGGATTCTTTGATAATAGAAAGTTTAAAAGAACAGCATTTACTTGAAACAGAAATATTTTGTAACATTATGAATGTCTTTACTGTCACTTTTGATCAATTTAATGCATCCTTACTAAATAAAAGTATGAATTTCTTTAGTCATACTGACCCCAAACTTTTTAACGGTAGTTATTATAAATTTGTGTTGTTTTATATATTTGATAATAAAGGAACCATAAGACTCACAGTTTAGTGCGAGAGTCAATACTCCCGTTATTATACTGCCATTAAAACTTGACAAAGTCAGTTCACTTTCCTCATATGAGAAAGAGCTTCATGAACATTCAGCGAAACATCTCCAAAGTCTGTACAACGACATGAATGAGGAATGGATGGCAGAATATTAATTTCAGGCTGAACTATGTGTCTAATAATGAGTGAGATGATGACTGTCATACGCTCACGTCTACATTTCCAAGTGCGTCTTGCAGAAATGACGAGCAGCTCGCAGCACTTCATCAGCAGTTTTCTGTCATTAGAGAAGTGCTTCATGACAGACGCTGCCGATCTTTCATTCAGGAATCCTGCAGATGGAGCGGCGGGAGCCTGAAGATGCGCTGGTTCTTCAACAGATGTGAACACGGAGTAAGAAACTGAGATGTGTGAAGCAGATTTAGGTCTTTTTTTTTTTTTTGTGCATTATTAAGATTATTGGAGTGTGTTTTACAAGAAAACTAGTTCAGCTTCAGTGTTACTTGTCGTTTCTTTGTAATTATTTGTGATATTTACTTGTAATTTCTGAGAGCAAATTGAAGAACATTTATCAGATAAAGTCTGTTCATTCTGTGTGCAGCTCAGAAATCATCACTGTTGTCATGTTTTGGATGGACATTATTTGTCCCTTTTGTATGAATCTCACAAAGACAAACTGTCAATAACATAATAATAATAATAATAATAATGATGATGATGATGATGATGAATGGGAAATTTTGCTTAAAAATATTGTAAAATCAATTTTTTTTACTCAAATACAATAATAGGTAATTTTGTTGAAATATTACAGGAAAAAAATAGAAATTTATGCTTACAAATATTTTTTATTTTCTATTTTTAGATTTTTTTTATTTCAGTGTACTGTCACTTTTGATCAATTTAATGCATCCTTACTAAATAAAAGTATGAATTTCTTTAGTCATACTGACCCCAAACTTTTTAACGGTAGTTATTATAAATTTGTGTTGTTTTATATATTTGATAATAAAGGAACCATAAGACTCACAGTTTAGTGCGAGAGTCAATACTCCCGTTATTATACTGCCATTAAAACTTGACAAAGTCAGTTCACTTTCCTCATATGAGAAAGAGCTTCATGAACATTCAGCGAAACATCTCCAAAGTCTGTACAACGACATGAATGAGGAATGGATGGCAGAATATTAATTTCAGGCTGAACTATGTGTCTAATAATGAGTGAGATGATGACTGTCATACGCTCACGTCTACATTTCCAAGTGCGTCTTGCAGAAATGACGAGCAGCTCGCAGCACTTCATCAGCAGTTTTCTGTCATTAGAGAAGTGCTTCATGACAGACGCTGCCGATCTTTCATTCAGGAATCCTGCAGATGGAGCGGCGGGAGCCTGAAGATGCGCTGGTTCTTCAACAGATGTGAACACGGAGTAAGAAACTGAGATGTGTGAAGCAGATTTAGGTCTTTTTTTTTTTTTTGTGCATTATTAAGATTATTGGAGTGTGTTTTACAAGAAAACTAGTTCAGCTTCAGTGTTACTTGTCGTTTCTTTGTAATTATTTGTGATATTTACTTGTAATTTCTGAGAGCAAATTGAAGAACATTTATCAGATAAAGTCTGTTCATTCTGTGTGCAGCTCAGAAATCATCACTGTTGTCATGTTTTGGATGGACATTATTTGTCCCTTTTGTATGAATCTCACAAAGACAAACTGTCAATAACATAATAATAATAATAATAATAATGATGATGATGATGATGATGAATGGGAAATTTTGCTTAAAAATATTGTAAAATCTATTTTTTTTACTCAAATACAATAATAGGTAATTTTGTTGAAATATTACAGGAAAAAAATAGAAATTTATGCTTACAAATATTTTTTATTTTCTATTTTTAGATTTTTTTAATTTCAGTGTTATTTTAGTATTAATTGTATTTTAATATAGTATTTATCAATATTTTAAATAATCTTTAATTTTTATATTTTCAGTTTTCGTTTTAATTGTAAAGTTTTGGTAAAAGTTTATGTACAAATATTTAATATTTTTTTATTATTTATATTTTTATTTCAGTGTTATTTTAGTATGAATTATATACTATTATAACACTTATTGATATTTTAAATTTGTTTTTACATATATACATTTTTAAATATTTAATATTTTTTATTATTTATATTTTTTGTGTGTTATTTTAGTATTAATTGTATATTAATATAGTATTTATCAATATTTTAAATAAGCTTTTATTTTTATATTTTCAGTTTTCGTTTTAATTGTAAAGTTTTGGTAACATTTTATGTACATATAAACATTTTTAAATATTAAAATTTTTTATTATTTATATTTTTATTTCAGTGTTATTTTAGTATTAATTATATGCTATTATAATACTTATTGATACTTTAAATTTGTTTTTATTGGTGTTATCAGTTTTCACTTTAATTTTAGTTTTAATAATTTTATTATGTGCTTTTGTCTAGATTTTTGTCTAGTGGTGTTACTATGTGGTTGCTGGCCCAATAAAAGTTGCTTAATAAAAAAAGAAAAAGTCTGATCTTCTGAATGAATCAAATGAATGTGGAAGTAGCTCAGATCATTGATGAGTTCATATTGAGTTCATATTTTCCTCTGGTTCCTCAGAAAAATTGTTGAGATCTTAAAGAGGTTTGGTGTGAGATCTCTCTCTCCTGCGGGTTTTTAGCTCTATAGATGATGCTGTTCATCAGCATGATGCTCTTCTCCCATTAAAAACAGCTGAATGTATCTGTCAGATGTTTTATCATTCATCTCATCATCATTAGAAGTTGTTTTTGACGGTCTCCTGGCGTTTTTCTCAAACCATCAAACATCATCTGCCACACAACAGATTTCACTGGAACGCGTCTCATGTCTCATTTCTCCTCAACAATTGCGTCTTATTAACTGGATGCGAACATCAGCCAAATATCAGTCTGAACATCCATCAAACGTGTTTGTGTTTCCAGCTCCGACTCGAGTGCTCTTCTCGTTCGACGTGGGGAACGGTCCTCTGGAGGTGAAGGTGGAGACGCCGGCGGCTCTGAACGACGAGCGCTGGCATCACGTGAGAGCCGAGAGGAACGTGAAGGAGGCCTCGCTGTATGTGGACCATCATCCCGGCGCAGTTCAGAAAGCCCCCGCTGACGGACACATTCATCTGCAGCTCAACAGCCAGCTGTTTGTAGGTAGGAGAACATTTAAATACAGATAAATGAGGTCTGTTCATTCTGTCACATCGCTGCTATCATGCTTTGGACGGCCGTTATTGACCCTTTTGTGTGAATCCCACAAAGACGAACTGTGCAGCTCATATATCACTCCAAAATCAAATATTTACATTTACATTTAGACATTTAGCAGACCCTTTTATCCAAAGCGACTTACAAATGAGGGCAATGGAAGCAATCAAAATCAACAAAAGAGCAATGATATGAAGTTCTATAACAAGTCTCAGTTAGCTTAACACAGTACACGTAGCAAAGTTTTTTTTTTAATCATATAATAAATAAAAAGAAAACACAATAGAAAAAGATTCAAGCTAGTGTTAGAGGCCTTTTTTGCTTTTGGTAATTGTATAATGAATAAAAAGAAAACAAATAGATAGAATACAAAAAGATTAGAGAAGCAAGCGGATATTATTTTATTGAATATAATAGTTTTAATTTAATAGTATTTCTTTTAGTTAACTACAACACTTTTTGTTTTTGCTTGATTATTCTTATTATTATTATTTGCTTATTTTAGGATCATTTATTTATTTATGCATTTTTTGCATTTTTATATTATTTTGATGAATTTAATGGTTTCCGATTTAGTTAACAATAGCAACATTGTTCTATTTAAAATTATGAATATATTCTTTGCATATTTTAGGACCACTAAGATTTTTTTATTTTATATT